CCTTTAACTCCTTATTTTCATCTAAAGTAACAGACAGAGAATCAGCACTTTTGAAACAGGGCTGAAACAGAGGGGATTATGGGTAATGCTGCAATGATCTGTTTGGTGCTTGGAGCCAAACACTATATATGTATATATCTGAGACCTATACTAAAGTAATGAAAAACCGTATGATAGGGGACCTTTAAGGGTGCAGTGTGAAAAGCACTTTGCAATGATTCCTTTTCTTGCAGCAAGACTGAGGGTAAAAGGGGGTCAAGATGCACAGATTTGAGACACATCCAGAGCAGCCCCCACCTCAGTTGTACTGAAGCCATCTTGGGTGGAGAGGAGCTAGGAGGAGAAGAAAAAAAGAGCATACAAGGCAAGGTGTGTTATCGATGAGCTGCTGAAGTCAAAGGCCTCCTTGTTCTCTATAGTCGCTGATATGCAGGAGCTAAGTCTGTGAATCAAGCCCATCACTCATCTGCGTCTGCACACCCTAAAAGCTTTCAAACCTCAGGAGGTGGCCGGTGGAGACAGACCGCCGACCTTGATATAGGAACAAGGTCAGAAAGCCCTTCCAGCTGAAGTCTTTCCAGGGATGAGGCTCTGATGGAGGTGAGGCTCGGAGAGACAAGATGTACGCTTGAGTTTACAGTATAACCATTTTCAATGCAGTAAATATTGTTTTTATTATTACTATTATAATTTTTATAATGTGTTTTATATAATTTAATTATTGTTATTATTATTATGTATTTTCTTTTATTATTTATTTTTATTTCCTCATTATTATCAATAGTACTATTATTTTCTTTTATTATTAGTATTTTTATTATTTTTATTTAAAGTGAATCAAAAACAAATATTGTCTCCTACATTTTACTGTATTTATTTTTAATTTTATTTGTATAACCTATATTTGTTGGAGTGTGAATTTATTTTCTGCATTAATTTACATTATTCTTTTATTTCCCATTGTTTTTTTTAACTGTGTTTCTAATTTGTTATTATAATAGTATTATCTTTACATTACATTTGAAACGTTAAAATGTTCCAGCCCAACATTAGTTATCAGTCGTAAGAAGGAAATGTGTTAATTGGGAAAGCTTGATGAAAGATGAGAACTTGAAGCTAATTATTATTCACAGATATTCATGATATTTTCAAGGCTGTTGAAAAGAATGATATCCTAGCTAAAAGATGTTGACTTTATGACCCGTCCAGTAATCAATACTCTGTTAGCCGTGTGTAATAACCCTGACGTACGTTTTTCTCATCTGTTCCTTGGCGTGACTCCCACCACAGCTGCCTCTTCCTGTTGGCCCCGTGATTCGTTGTGTTTCCATCCAGATCTTCCTCCTCACACATATCGTCTTCCTTGTCGTCCTGAAAAAACAAAGATAGACAGTTTGGAAAATATATTTCCTCCACTGGAGAAGCAGTCTCTTGCTTTCAAGAATCCCAGTTTTAATCAGCGCCTTTTGAAGAAGTGTAGGAGGGCCGAATCTGAGGAGGAGTTGGGTGACCTTTAACAACTAGCTGCATCATCTCAGCAGTGTCTCGTGTGTTAACTATCACAAAATGTGAAAGAGACATGTTGAAAAAGCTATCAGCTTGCCAGTTGTTCAGCTTTTAGGACCTGTTTTCTTGTTAATTTCACAATGGAAAGAAAATGTAACTTGTTTTTGAAGCGTCAGTTTAATACAAAAAAATAAAGACAATCCTAAAAACAAGACCTGACCCAAAAAATGACAGAAAGAAGGTGTATTGCAGGGGTGTCAAACTGAAGCCCCGGGGGCCAAATCCGGCCCGCGACTTCATTTAATGTGGCCCCACAAGAGCTCTGGAAGAATATAATACGTTTATTATACGGTTACAGGCCGATTTACAGAAGCACGTGGCCCATAAACTACATGTCCCACAATGCATCTCAAATATGAATTTTGTTCACATTTTCTACAGAATTTGGCTTTAAAAAAAAATTCTCACTGAAGAGACTTCCAATTATTTGCCCTAGACTTCTGCTTTCAGACGTAGTTAATTATGAAGTTATTACCCTATCCCATAATAATCCAATGCAGAGGCAATGATGTAATATAATACATACGTTTATATCTATTAAATATTTATATATGTATTTTTATATAGTCTTGAAGTTACAACCGGCCCTTTGAGTGCAACCATAATGCTGATGTGGCCCGTGATGAAATTGAGTTTGACACCGCTGGTGTATTGTAACATTTTTGTAAGGGTTCAATATCAGTTAATACAAGTCTTGTTGTCAGCACCTTTTTTTGTCTCTGATTTTCTTGATTACATATCAAAGTGTTCACTAAAATCTGAATTTAATTGATTAAATCCATTACTACACTGTCATTTTTCGCCTGATTGAGAAATTCAAATTTCATTATTGTAGTTATTTTAGTGTTTCTCACTCCGGCTTTGGTGCTAAATGTTTTTCTTAGAGATAAACAAAATGGCAATCAGAAACAATCCTTTATAAATAAACTCAAACTGCATTGTCCACATTTTGTATTGGCCCTACAGTATTGTGCTCATTTTCAGGCTCATAGTTGTATTTTGTTTCTCTACTGTATCGTGTTTACATCAAGTACAATGTGTCGGAGCGCTAGCCAATAGAAGTGTTACGTAGTGATGTCATCATGTTGCTGAAGTAAACAAAGTCCAATGGAGGTGTTTCAGAGAGGGGGGGGGGAGTGTGTGGGAGAGAAACTAGCCTTTGCAGACCATGCATGCACACAAACCTATAAACACATTACAGGAAAGGGAAAACCCCCAAAAGATTAACAGGGCCTCTTTAACTGTAAAACTAAAGCGTTATCCGGACTCTTTTGTGTGATTGACGTATGCTTATCTTTGTTTTCACACTACGGTCAGATTTATAAGGAAGCCGTAAAAATACATGCCGTTTTTTTATTGTCTGTTTGTGAAGATAAGATCCATCACTATGTGGCGTCTTCACTGCCAAACAAAGCTGTCAGCTGCTGAGCGATGTTGTAATTATGTTTTATTATTAGAGTCATCTAAAGTGTAAGGTTAAAACTCTCACACACCCCTTTGTGGAAAGATCAATAATGCATACGGCCCCACAGGTTTACAGGGAAGTATTGACCCCTCTATAAAAACACGGATCTATAACTCCATTACAGACGGAGGAGATGAACCCTCGAGCCGCGAGGTGAAGGAAGATGAAGTCAGGAGCGACATTCATGACATTTCCCACATTACATGACATTGGAGAGTTCCTTCCCCTTTCGTTTATATCATAAAAAGCTGAATATATTTCGATGTTTGGCCTTTAAACACAAGACATTTAAAGATCTTTAACTGGAGTAACTTGGGTGGACATTTTTCACAATTATCTGACGTTTTAATAGGCTAATTAATCACGAAATCGAAAAAAATAGATGGCAGGATAAAATCATGAAAAAAATCATTAGCTGCTTCCCTATGGAGATCATTTGGTTTTATGTACTGTGGGGGAAACTTCTGAAGCAATTGGAAACAGGACTCAGAGAGGCACGAGGAGAGCTGGAGCTTTGATGGCAAACGTGGCGGTTTATTTGGAGTTATGGACGGAGAATTTACAAGACAGGCGGTGCGTCACGAGTTCACACAGCGGTTGCCAAACCAATTCTCTTCTGCAGCTCGAGGTTTTAACTAGTTCGGAGCGTAATAATCAACATTCTTCATCAGCGAGACTAAACAATTATGGACCCTGAATCTAACTAGAGCTCTCGTCCATAGAAAGTAATGTGCGTCAGGGAAGCTACGTCCCTGAACATCAAACTACCTCGTGGCGGCTTGTGCTCCGTCATAGACTGGCAACAACAATGCGCCCAAGCTGCTCCTTTTAAGAGAGATAGCAGCAATACCCAAGGCCGTAGAACTATGCCACGGGAAAGGAGAAAGTGAAAGGAGAAAATGATGAACTGTGTCGAAGGTTGAATACCTAAGCAAATTATTCCCTAACATCGACCACCGTTTTGATTTACCTCAGAGATTTCTGCTGATACCCAAAGAGGTGAATGGAATTTAATGAGTGTGCCATACGAAATAAAATAAAAACATTTAAAAATATTATTTTTATAATTAACAGCATCTCTCTTGTCAGAAATAATGTATACTCTTGAGAGCGTGTTTCGTCATTTGCATCAACTAACCCTTTAAGTTGAATCTACATTCAGTCATTCAGAGGTTAACATTATGTTATAGTTTTAAAACAGCTCGCTCAGCAAATCTTTAATTGTTAAATTGACAGTTTTATATATGTATTTTATACGCTTGTAGATGATCACTTGTACCTAATAAATTAAAGGACATGCTTCAATTTTTCCAAGTGTTTCAGGTGTCCATATACAAACGCTTAGCTAGTTTTATTAGGCCATTCAAGAAGCAACCCCTAAAGCGCTCTCAACGTGAGTGAGGTGGACTAAATCCACGGTCCACAGTCGCATACAGTAGTCACATTTGGAAGTAGTAGTTTGATTTCACTTCATAGTTCATACTACCCTCAAATCAACTTTGGGGTTTCTTTTTTTGTTCAAAACTAGAATTATGGATTCTCGATTTGTTTTATTGGGAGAAAGTTAAGTAAGGGATAATGTGCAGCGTCATTATGGGCAAAAGAACACCGACAGGCTGATCAGGAGTCCGACGCAAAGCATGTATACAGTTAAATCGACCGAACTTCTTTCTGCAGATGTAAGCGTCCTTAACAACGGTCAATAAGTCCTTGACAGCGGTCTGTCAGTTCTGAATTAACAACGTGTCACGTGTTCTGAATTGACCAATCAGAATAGAGTATTCAACTAAGCCATGTAATAAAACAAAATCTTTCAATGGTTAGTAAGAACAGGTTAAATAAATACAGCAAGTAACATCTCTTTACATGTACAAATGGGATCCTGAATATTGTTTTAAAACTGATTTATTTCTCAATACCTAGACCTTCAGCGGGATATATCTTATCAGAAAAATGTTATTAAGCAGACTGGGTTATTTGTATTGTTTGGTTATAGTAGGATTTAAAAACTGAAGCACCTCTCAATAAGACATTTTTGGGTAAAAATATACTTACTACACTAACTGGCTTCCTCCATTTATAGACCATATATTACAAACTCTTCCTTAAATGTGGATCAGTGGCCTTTGAGTTGTTTCTTAACGGGAACATATGCTCCTATAGATCACATCATGCTGGGATGCACGCTGCCTTCGTCAGAATTAGACCAGCAGTGTGTCAGATAACACCTGAGCTACGGCGCACAGCCATCGACCGTCCTGAAATCTTCCATCAATAAAGTTTCTCTGATCGCGAGGCCACCTGGCTGCACATTTAATCCAATCTGCTGCTATTTCAGTCCACTGTCGGGATCCAGCGAGGAGCCGAGTGGAGGTGTGGTGTGTTGAATTTAACCAGACATCTCTGTGGATCTAGCTTTCTCTAAACAGGAGCTCATGGTCATTTCAATTCTAAAATAATAATCACTTGCTGGTTGCAAGTCCATGTCTTCCCGTACAAACAGACTCAAGTTTAGTTTCTTTCCCAGGGCCATATGTGCACTTAACACTGCCAATATTTAAGTTATCATGTCTTCCGTGCAATAATCATGTCTTCCGTGCAATATGAGGGGAATCGTGCAATTTAATTTATTACTTATTATGTACATATTCCCTATCATG